CGAATTTTGCAGTTTTAATATTTATTTATACAAGTACTTAAGCCTTTTAAAAATAATTTTCTTCTGTACATTCATGTCTAACCTTTTAATACTCTCTTATAAAAACATTTTTTTCTTTTTTAAAATAAATTTTAAAGTAATTTTTAAATGTTATTATTCGTATCAGTTTGGATTATTTCAACATTGTAAAATGTCTTCCCTTATTAGCATAATGTATATAAAAGGTAATAAAAAAATTTAATTTAGAAAAAGAATAGACAAACAAATTTCAAATGACAAGGAATAAACAAAGAAATTAGTTTGACAAAAATAAACAATTTTAAAGGCGATTCAAGTACTTGTATCAAAATAAGCAACGTTTAATTTTAACAAAATCAATTTCGGAATTGTTTCAATTACAGCAGAATATTGATCGCTCGAAAAGTGACTTAATCTAAGGTTAAAAGTTATTAATGAACTTTGACAATTGTAACTCGCACTATTTTACACGCACTACTAATTGTAACTACAGATAAAAAGTTCACCCTATGCCGCGAACGAACGTCGCAGATATCGCGGTATCCACTGGGTGTATCCGAGACGCGGCAATGATCGACCGCAGAATTGTAGATCACGCGGACGTTAGGAGGGTTACAAGCACAGGTTACGAGCAAGGCGAAGGAAAGGTCGATGATGATGCAAATGCCGAGGGAGACGGCTAGCCACAGCAGCAATAGCGTCGTTATAGGTTACGTCGTTATTATGACGGTTATTATGACGATTATTAGACGGCGTTCCGGGCCCAATTCAGCGTAGCAAGGAGATAATGCTAGCGAAGGTGGTGAGCAAGTGAATAAACGACGTAGGCACACAGATTATATTTTTCAAAATTATTAACTCAGCGGCTATACACGTGACACAACACACGACCGTGCATTGAACCACTGAACATATAATAATATAACGGCGGCTACGGTCGTGGACTGTGGTACGACCGTGATGGTAGTAGCGACACGTGGTGGAGATATCATAAATTAAAAAACCTGCTTCAATAAGTGTGCTACCCCCACCACTAAAATTCGGCCCGAGTTGCCAGACCTGTGTATACGACCGTGGTGCGGACTGAGATTAAGGGGCACAACTAGTGTGACACTTTTGAAAAATCGAATTTTTTTTGCATTTTTCGATAGTCTATAGCTTCAAGAATAACATACTAAAATTTTAAGAGTGGATCTCAAATAGTTTTTGAACGGCAGCCTTCTAAAGAGTAGCTGCTCGTCGGTCAGAAACGTGCATAAGCTTCGAAAGAGGGTCGATTAACTCGAAGGAAAGCTTCAGCAACCCAGCAGGTACTTTCTTGAGGAAGAGGAAGGTGAATTATATGGGCCTGGAATAACAGATTAGCTGTAAGTATGATATTTCTCAATCAAACAATGAAATCAATATTTTTATCTAAACGCGTTTTTCTCAAAACGACGTTTTCCAAATTTGCTGCAGTTCTAACTCAAATACAAATCATCCGATCAACTTGAATTTTTTTGGAGCGTGTTTAATATTTGTTTTTCCATACAATGACCTTCCAGTTTTTTGATTGGATGAAAAATGTCAATTTGCCATGCAAAAAACCGCGAGATTTTTAAGCGTAATTTAAAATCTTTTTTCAAAACTCCGTCATTTTGTTGGATTTTAATTTTTTTTCATAATCCTACGTCATTGTACGGGAAATACCTTCTAGTTTAACGGACATTTTTTGTTTTTTTATTTCAAGCACTCTGAAGGCCGCAATCACTGCAGCAGTGGGAGAACGTTTTTTTTTTTGGAGACTCGGGAAATGACACATAAGTCGCTGAAAATTGATTATTTTCATACAAAAAAATTACTGCACATAGATCATTTATACACAAATATATTCTCAAAATTTCAAAACATTCGATGCAATACTTTTCTTTTAATAAATTCCCGAAAATCACCTTTTTTTTGGGCAGTCACACTAGTTGTGCCTCTTAATGAAGTGACTAACGATGCTGATGTTGATAGATTCTGTGAGGTGCTGTCTAGTAACCTGTTAAGGGCACTGAATATATTTGCTCTTATTCGTGTATTTGCAGTTAGGAAGCCTTCAGCGCGGTGGCTTACTGATGAACTTAAGACCCGGATGCGTGTTTGCAATCAATTATATAAGCAGGCAAAACGTTCTAGCAGTTTGCTTAGCTACGCCACCTACAGATTTTTTCGCAACCAGCTTAATACTGACATTAAACGTGCCAAAAGTGAGTTTTAATTTGAATCTCTGAAAAACATCACAGATCATGCAAAACTTTGGAAAGAACTAGCTCGTCTCAGTCTTGTAAGATCGACCTTAGTTTATCCTCTACATTTTTTTTACACCTGATCAATTAAACTCATTTTACGTTTCAGTTTCTACTGCTCTGTTCCCTTGCTCATATGCTGATTTTATTTCTGCCATTGACCAGGTCACTACAGGACCTCTTCATTTTTATGCGTCGGGTTCAGACAACCTCTTTATATTTTGCGTATTGCTTGGCCTATGATTTCATCGTATCTAACTGCTTTATTTAACCGCTCATTAGAAACTTCTTCATTTCCGTCTTAGTGAAAGCGGGCGCTTATCTGCCTTCTTTCTAAAATCGTATTCCTCTATCCCCGTCTGATACGCGACCGATAGCCAATCTGCCCGAACTGTCTAAAATACTTGACAGAATCGTTGCCTCACAGATCACTGACTACTTAATCAAGCATGATCTCATAAATCCTAGACAGTCCGCGTACCGCCCGAGTTATAACACTCAGTCGGCACTTCTGCGTGTGGGAGCGTCCCGTTTGACCACGTTAATATTTACCACGGTCCCAATTGACCACGTTGATATTGAACACGTTGCAATTGACCACGTTGCGATTGACCACGTTGTGATTGACCACGGTCCCGATTGACCACCGTCCCGACTGACCATGGTCCCGATTTACCACCATCCCGATTGACCACCGTTCCGATTAATCACGGTCCCTATTGACCACGTTGAGATTGACCACGTTGAAATTGACCACGTTGAGATTAACCACGTTGCGTTTGACCACATTAATATTGACCACGTTGCGATTGACAACGGTCCCGATTGACCACAATTAACCACCGTCCCAATTGACCACTGTCCCGATTGACCACCGTCTCGATTGACTACGGTTGCGATTGACCACCGTCTTGATTGTCCACGGTTCCGATTGACCATTGTCCCAATTGACCACGGTCACTATTGACCACGTTGAAATTGACCACGTTGAGATTGACTACGTTGCGTTTTGACCACGTTAATATTGATCACGTTGCGATTAATTACGGTCCCGATTGCCCACGGTTTTTATTAATCACGGTCTCGATTGACTACGTTGATATTAACCACAGTCCCGATTAACCATGTTGATATTGGCTACGGTTTCGATTGACCACGGTCCCGATTAACCACCGTCCCGATTGACCATCGTCCCGATTGACCACGGTTCCGATTGACCACCGTCCCGATTGACAATCGTCTCGATTGACCATTGTTTCGATTGACCACGGTCCCGATTGACCACGTTGATATTGACCACGGTTCCAATTGACCACAGTCCCGATTGACCACCGTCCCGATTGACCACTGTTCCGATTGACCACCGTCCCGATTGACCACGATTGAGCACGAGTTACAATATTAAGCAGTTCCTGAGATATATACAGGGTGTAGAAAAAACTAAGTTTCGTAAATTTGTGTAATGAAAGAAGGAATAAATACACCAACTTTTAAGTATAGGAACCATGGGTCAACGACGCTTCGTTACGGCGTGATGGGCGTTTAATTAAATTGTCACAACGACTGCGATGCAATGATTTTATTCCATCAATTTAACATGTTTACAGTAGAGACCCTCTATACAGAGTCTGGCTATAAGCGATTTTGTCCAAATCCTGCGAGAGGAAGGATATACATTATTATGTATGTACAACCACTGAGATATAAGTAATATCTCAGTATTTACAACACAATAATTTTACGAGAGGTTATGAAATCTGTCATAACAATTCGTGGAAAAAATGTATGTTAACTGTTATCAAGGAAGTATAGCTCTACTTTGTAGACGAATAATATTCACAAAGTTTCACCTAAATCTGAGCATGGACGTTTTCGGAAGTACAGCCGCGATTGGTCGAAACCTTATGTTTATGGAAAAGTTGAGAGATCATATTTATATATACAGCAGATCATAAAATAAATTCAAAAAAATGAAGCAAAAGAAAATTGGAGCAAAACGCCCTTATCCTTCCGATCAATCAATTAACCTAGCGTTAGCTAAATTCTTTTTTAGCTGCAACATTTCTTTTAATGTGGTGGAATCAAAATTATTCAGAAACTTCGTGAATTTGCTGAATCCTAACTATAAAGTACCAACAAGAAAGAAGGTTTCAAACCAATTGTTAGACGCGGTGCATGAAGAAATTACAACTAAGCCTTGGTGAAAAAATTTCTCATTTTTTCATATTTTTTCATATTTTTCATATTTTCTCAGAAATTTTGCAAGAATTAGGATTTATGAAAAATTCTAAAAAAATATTTGGTTGGCCAATAAATCCGTGCGGTTTTTCTCGATAGATGGCGTCAAGGCGCTCTGCCTAAGCTTTATCTTCAGTCGGTAAGTTTTGAAACCGTATAGTCATTGATCAATGACATTTAAACGTGTATTTAAAAAATATACGTAAATATTGCTTGAGTATCTTGTGTGTTTTGCGTTATCTGAAAATGGATAACCAGAACGAGCATTTTCGGCATATTATGCTTTTTTATTTTAAACAAGGCAAAAACGCGTTTCAAACCTGTAAAAAGATTTGTGAAGTATATGGTGAGGATGCCGTAAAAGAACGCGTATGCCAAAAGTGGTTTGCGAGATTTCGTTGCGGAGATTTTTCCGTCAAAAACAAACCACGCTCAGGCCGACCAAATGAAATCGATAGCGACAATTTGAAGGCGATGATCGACTCCAATCCACACTACACGACGCGAGAGATTGCAGACGTTCTCCTAATATCGAAATCGAACGTGGAAAATTATCTGCATCAACTTGGATACGTTAGCCGTCTCGATGTTTGGGTTCCACACGAACTGAAGGAAGCTCATTTAATCCAACGCATTTCCATCAGCGATTCACTCGGAAAACGTGAGAAAAGCGATCCATTCCTGAAGCGTATGGTAACTGGCGATGAAAAATGGATCTTCTACAATAACATCACGTGCAAAAGATCGTGGGGGCAGCGCAGCGAACCGCCACAAATCGCTTCGAAGGCAGGACTTTACCCGAGCAAGATTATGCTCTCAATTTGGTGGGATTGGAAAAATGTTGTGTATTACAAGCTACTTCCGAAGAACAAAACGATCAATTCAGATGTTTACTGTAATCAACTGGATAAATTAAATGCAGCGATCCACGAGAAGCGTCCAGAATTGGTGAATCGTAAAGGCGTCGTCTTTCACCATGACAACGCTAAGCCGCACACATCTCTACAAACCCGGCAAAAAATATTGGCGTTAGGCTGGGATGTCTTATAACATTCTCCGTATTCTCCAGACCATGCACCATCAGATTATCATCTGTTCCGCTCCCTTCAAAATTCCTTGAATGGAAAGCACCTCGTTTCTGAGGAAGCTGTCAAACAACACTTGGAACAGTTTTTTGCCGAGAAATACAGGAAGTTCTTTAAACGAAAAATTATGAAGCTGCCCGAAAGATGGCAAAAGATAGTAGATAACAACGGCCAATACATAATTGATTAAAGTTATTTGAGATCGCTGTAATTGGCATCGCGAACCGCTTTCGGCTGCTTGTCAGCGCATGCACGCTTGCGATAATTAATATTTGCTTAAACCGTCGCACAGTGGGGCCAATTCCCGAAAAGCTGGCCAAAAGTCGAAAAATAAAGTTTTAATTTATGGAATTTGAAGTACATAGATGTATAGAGTAATGTTCAAAGAATATGTAACGGCCCTTTATAAGAGCTAATTAAGTATACATGGCAGGTATAAGCCAGTACAAAAAGGACCTTCGCACGAGTAACAGCTCGAGCGTCCGAGCTCATGTTCAAGCGTCATATTCAAAAATTCGTAGAAAATCGTAAAGTTGATCTTTTTTAATTCTACAAAGCGGATGTTTTAAATGGAAAAATGTAGTTTATTATTGTATTTGTTAAAAATTATAACAAATAAATATAAATTAACAGTAACGCAATGTTTGAAGTGTAAAATAATGAAAATTTGTGTGCAATCGTTTAAATTATTATGTGTGCAATTGTTTATATTATTATGTAACAAAATTTGTAAAAATTAGCTGTTACTAGCTGCTACTTTGTTTTTAATGTTGTACATTTGTATTTAAAACCTTCCAAATTCGCATAAACTTATTAACGCCTATGCTTAAACCACTAACAACATAGTAAAACTAATAATTGAAAATAGAACATGACCTTTAACTAGGTAAATTGGAATACAGTAATTGTTTAAACAATAATTGTTTAAACAAATTACTGCAAAATAAATTTTTTATAAATCTGACAGCGGCAATAGATTCAACGGGAAAAATAATAGAATGTTAAAAAAAGTGTGTGTGTGTGTGTGTGTGTGTGTGTGTGCGCGCGCGCGTGCGCGTGCGCGCGCGCGTTCGTTGAAGTAGTAGCTGTTGTGTTGAATACAATATATAAATTCAAAAAGAATGTTAAACGATGTAGTCCAGACCGGGCACGGTGACCGTGGATGTTCTAGAAAAATTCCGAAATGATGACGGGTTATCTACATTACATATGTGGATTCGATTCTTTGAATGTTGTTTGCATATTTCGTATAAAATCGAAATTAAAAAATGGCAAGCGCGAGGAAATAAAAAGAAATTAATAGAAGATAGAAAAAAAACAATTCAAAAAGGTTTTCGCCAACAGTTAGGCCTTATTGTTGATAAACCAAAATCTGGATTTGGCAATACAAATGATGGGAATACTGCTCGACGATTTTTTGAAAATAAATCCATTTCCGCTGCTATAACGGGCGTTGACGAAGATCTTATTAAAATATTTCATATTATTTTACAAGCTATTACAAGTGGTCATGAAATTAACATACCAAATTTCCAAGAATACACAATACAGACAGCTCGAAAATTTGTCGATTTATATCCTTGGTTCTACATGCCTACTTCTATACACAAACTTTTAATTCACGGCTCTGAAATAATACAATCTGCTTTACTGCCAATCGGACAAATGTCTGAAGATGCACAGAAATCTTGTAATAAATATATTAAAAGATACCGTGAAGATTTTGCACGAAAATGCAGTAGAACAAAAACGATGGAAGATCTTTTCTTGCGCTTGCTAACGTCATCAGGTCTGTATATATCAAGTTTAAAAAAATTGCCACAAAAGAAATTAAAATCCTTATATCCGGAAACAGTTAAATTGCTTACTTCACCATCACTTTATGCGTCCAGTGCTGATTCTATCTCTTCTTTTTCGATATCATCAGATTCTTCAGGTTTAGATACAGATAATTCAACTGTTCGATATCGTGGAGTCGCAATAGGGATCAGGGCGGTGGCGGTGAGTCAGCGAGACAAGATTTGGTAACAAAACAATAAATTCTGTGTCTAAATTACATATATTATGTTTGCATTGTCTTAGGCGGCGCCTTGAAGGCGCCTAATCAAAAATTAAGTGCTAACGCACGGTTTCAAAACTTAATGTGGCGGATGGCCTTCTTTGCACGGGGCTCGGAGGGGACCGAGTTATTATTGAGGTCGAGTTTAGAGCCCGAGGTGAGAGGTGGCTTGTCCGTCGGTTGATCCGGTGGGTCCACTGGCGATGAAGGAGCCAGGAAAGCTCGCCTGAGCACCGTCTGACACGCTGTGGTTCGCGTCTCCTTGACGCGAATCAGGTGGAGGGCCGGTGGTCGAGAGATGCGGCAATCCCGTTTCGGGAGCGTCACTCCGGCAGGCCTGGTGCGGCGCACCTCCGGGAGCTCCAGTGCAATGAGCTTCCACGGACGTATTGCCTGTCCCTTGTCCAACTCCCGTCTCGTCGCTTGCCGCTCCTGCGGCACTGGCTGGTTGGAAAGACGAGGTTTCACAAGGGCCGGTGTCTCTTGGTGCCGCTCCTGCGACACCGGTTTAGCGGGCTCCGCCCCCTTTGTGTGCCGCTCCTGAGGTACTGGCGGGTAGGAGAGGCGCTTCCTTCGTCTCTGGCTCCGCGTCCTGGTTCGGCACCTTTTTCTTCTGGTCGCTGTTGGAGTGGGGCCACTCCGCGCCTCCGCTTCCACTGTGCCGGGCCCGGAGGGGGCGTCCGACTTGGAGGGGGCCGCGGTCTCCACGATGGCTCCACAGGAGTGCAATGAGCGGAGGAGAAGTCTCTCGACGCTCGACAATTACTGCGCGGAGGAGAGGGAATCTCACTCGACGCGACAAAAGATTTAATATTTCGATTCTCTCAACGCTTCCTCGAAGCGAGATCGCAGAGTATAGCGGTAGGATTCGATGCTGGTCTGTGCGCAGCTCGCCTTAAATTGCTACTCGAACGTACTTTAAACGCGAGTAAGTGTACGTGAGCCGGCGACGCGCCGCGGCGAGCCGCGAAATCTGATAAGCGCGTGTTGGCCGGGCGCGCATTTGTCAGGGGCGCGCGGCACATGTTCGACTTCTCGAACATCAACTGATGATGAAAACTAATTTGTATGTAAATTTTATGTAAATATTAGGTACTTGCATGTAACTATTTGTATGGAAATATTAGATTAATATTTTTGTAAACACTAATTTATTTTTTACATTCGGTTTTGTATTGTACTTCTTAATTTATTTGTCACAAGTATTTTTATAAAATAAATAAAAATTATGGATTTTAAAAATTTTGTATTCATTTTACATCTGCCATTCATTTTGTTTCCAGATTCGTTATTTGCGACCCCGAAAACTTATAAATTCCACGTTTCACATAAATTAAATAAAAATAACGGTTTATAGATATGCTTTTTAGTATTTCATAGCCGCCATTTTGTTTTTTTATTTTATTTTGACTTCAGATTACTAACCAGCGACTTTGAAAACGTATGTGTACAAAATTAAACATAAAATCAATAAAAATTATGATTTATAGATATGCTTTTTAGTATTTTATAACCGCCATTTTGTTTTTTTTTTTTTTTATTTGAAATTTGTTATCAACGACCCCAAAAACTTTTATATATCAAGTTTCAAGTAAATATCTTAATTTTTCGACTTTTGGCCAGCTTTTCGGGAATCGGCCCCACTGTGCGTCGCATAAGATTTATCACGGTAATATTCAGCATTTAGTATAGCATGGACCTTTCGGGATTAGCATTCTGGCAACTTCTCTAACATTGTCATCAACAATAAGGTCAAGCTTTGTTCAACGGTACGAACGACTTATTTGTGCTTACACAACGGAAAAATCCATGCTATAAACAAAGCAGGCGAAAACAGGTAACGATCGCTTCGGGTCGTCACTTGAAAACCGTGACGTAAGCACGGTGACGTAGGCCGCCGGTGGCCAATCACCCTCGCGAAATCATCGGTAACTAGCTTGGAGGGAGTTGCGCCCCGGAGGTGATAAAAGAACCACCGCTGCGCCGCGGAATCGATTTCGCTCGCAGATCACCCGCCTAGTATACCTATACGACCGCTAATACACCGCTTTGTACCGCTTCTCGCCTTGCAATCCGCACTGCTTTTGCACTCGCGATTCGCTTTGCTTTGCTGATAGCTTTAGTGCGCGCTGTCGCACACGGATTTCTGTTAAATAAGTGTATATATTCAGACATTAAATAGACCTTGTTTCATTGTACTGTATTTCTGGACTTGCTGTTTT